GCTATGATTTTTCAGATCTAGGGAAAATGACTAATTTTAAGAACTTTCTTCCATATCAGTAGTAAGATGTTGTAGAAGCATATACATTTAGATATTTGTTATTTCTTGACGCTTAGATGGGTGAAAATGTGGGAGTACAATATGGTGGAATATCGGCCTTTGCTATTCCCCCACTGCATACTGTAAATTCTAGATCCAACTCTATGAGTACAGAAGGTAACACTCTGGCCCAGCCTAGGTTCTATCCCCAGTTCTATCTCTATTATCTTTGAGCAGAAGCTCTTTTTGTAAATTTCACAATCACTGTGTCTGCTATTAATCTGAGCTCGATCTAGTTTAAATAAACTTATCTGTGCTATGTTGTTGTTATATGCTGTTGAGTCAGATCCAACTCATAGCGACCCCTCCTTGGGTTTCCGAGGTGGTATCACTATAGAAATAGATTGCTCAACCTTTCTTCTGAGGAGTGGCTGGTGGTTTTGAACCGTCTGCCTTCTGGTTAGCAGTCAAGTGCCTTAGGCACTACACTACCAAGGCTCCTCCTTAACTGTACTATAGCCTGAATCAAAGTAGTTTGACTAATCAGAGAGCAGAATAATCAAGACCAGATGTACTGTTGTTGTTAGGTGACAATGAGTCAGCTCCAACTCATAGCGACCCTATGTACAACAGAACAAAACACTGCCTGGTTGTGTGCCATCCTCACAATCTTTGCTATACCTCAGCCCATTGTTATAACCACTGTGTCAATCCATATTGTTGAGGGTCTTCCCTTTTTTCCCTGACCCTACACTTTATAAAGTATGATATCCTTCTCTAGGGAATGGTCCTTTCTGACAACATGACCAAAGTAGGTGAGAAGAAGTTTGGCTTTTCTAGCTTTCAAGGAGCATTCCAGCTACACTTCTTCTAGGACAGATTTGTTTGTTCTTCTGGCAGTCCATGGTGCTTTCATTATTTTTTGCCAATACCACAACTCAAAATTATCAACTCCTCTTTAGTCTTCCTTATACATTGTCCAGCTTTCACGTGCATATGAGGTTATTGAAAATACCATGGCTTGGGTTAGGCACACCTTAGTATTAAAAGAGACATCTTTGCTCTTCACCACTTTAAAGAGGTCTTTTGCAGCAGATTTGCCCAGCAAAATAAGACATCTGATTTCTTGACTGCTGCTTCTATTGGTGTTGATTGTGGATCCAAGTAATCTGACATCTTTGACAACTTCAATCTTTTCTCCATTTATCCTGATGCTGCTCATTGGTCCAGTTGTGAGAATTTTAATTTTCTTTATGTTGAGGTGTAATCCATACTGCAGACTGTACCAAGTAACACTACATTGTACTTCAGAATACAGTCACTATAGGTTTGGAATGTGTCCATTTTCACTGCTATTTTAGAGGAGGTAAATTCTTCTTGAAATTGAACACTTTCACATTAAATTTATTATTAAGAAGGAAAATCTATGGCCTTAAATTAGCAAAATATAGACTTTTTGGATGATTATGCAGCTCAGAGTCTATAGTAAAAAAGGGAGAATTGGCAGCAGATAATCTGAAAAGAAGTACAAGTAAAAGAAGATGGATTTAGAAATTATTCAAGGATTGTTAGGAGGACTCCTGTTCATATTGTTTTTGGTTTTGTGGACATGGTGATCTGTTTGGTAGCTTGAGTACATAGGCAAGTCCACTTAAATCAGGACCCCAGAAAATTACATCTAAGTAAGGTGATGAATCTCAGTAAGTAGTGCTAAATGTACATATGTAATCATCTCCTCTTGACCAAAAAGGACACCTATAAACACACACAAATACAGATTTTCTGATGCAATATTCAAGGATACACCAGTCATAAATCTGAGAAGAGAATCTTTTTTTAATATCATCATGCCTTGTATAGAATAGTCAACTCTTGCAAAAGTGGTTAATTATGAGGAAACTGAGGAGCTCTGGTAGCATAGTGCCTAAAACACTTAACTGTTAACCAGAAGGCTGGCGGTTCAAACCCACCAGCCACTCCTCGGAAGGAAGGTTGGGCATCTACTTCCGTAGTGATACTGCCTTGGAAACCCAAGGAGGGGTCGCTATGAGTCAGGTCTGATTCAATGGCACATAACAACAACATGAGGAAACTGAATATGCTGTTTGATTCTGTCTTTATAAAATAAAGAGGATTAGGTGTGAGTTAGGAATTCTATGGCCCCATGCTTAAGCACTTGGCTGCTAACCAAGTGGTTTGAATCCACCAGCCATTCTGTGAAGGATAAGACCTGGTGATCTGTTTCTATAAAAACTACAGCCTTAGAAACCCTGTGGAGCACTTCTACTCTGTCCTGTAGGGTTATTGTGAATCAGAAGCAACTTGCGGACGTTCAACAACACAACAGCATGTAAATTGAGGACAAGGTGTTCTCTTCCCATTTTTACTAATAGATAAAACTGGAATTAATATATTATTTGTTTGAAAACAGGCAAGTCATGTTGCTATTTTATGTAAGGACAAGCAAAGACAAGTCCTACATCAAGAGGAGGAGGTAGAGAAGAACAGGGACATTTATTAAGGGCATAATATATGATAAGCACCAATAGGTGCTTGACATAAATAAATCAAAGTTCAAACCAAAAATTGAGCAGGTTGTTTTGACTCTTGTTTCCTAGCAGAAAGCATTAGCAAGAGGAGGGTTGTTATAAAATAGCTGTTTGTTACACCACATACAGTAGTAAATCCTTAGTTTATTTCAGTTGTTCACAGAGATTGCTATACAGCTAGATTTGGGCATGTAACCATACATTTCTTATCCAACTCTTGTCTACTTATAATCATACCTACCTACAATGTGGTCAGATTTGTCTTTTGGTTTTAGTGAGGTTCTGGATGTGCTAAGTTTTAGATTTCTCTCAATTTGTAAGGTATTTTCAGTCCTATTATATTTAGCTTTATGATGATAGGATTATAATACTCAGTGGTTACTGTATGAAGCAGAAAAATATGAAAGAAAGAGCATTCTTTTATAAATCTAATCTTTTTATCTGTTAGTGACAAATTAAAAAAACAAAAAACAAAACAAATTGTCAAGTTGATTTAAACTCCTAGTAATCCCATGTGTGTCAGAGTAGAACTGTGTTCCATAGTGTTTTCAAGGGCAGACTTTTTGGAAGTAGGTCACCAGACCTTTCTTCCAAGGTGCCTCTGGGTGGATTCACACTTCCGATCTTTCAATTAGCAAGAGAAAACTTTAAGCATTGGTGCCACCCAGGGACTCCAGGGACAGATACTATACCACTATTTTAGACAGGAAGGAAAAGCAGTGTCTAAGGAACAGTCATTGAAGTAATGTAATGATGGAGTTTTTAAGTTTTCAAGCTCCCTCCATATCCTTAGTCAACCTGGTTCCTTTTCTAAATTCTACTGTTATTATATAATATTTCTTAAATGATTCTTTAAAAGGAAGCCTGTATTGAATACTAAAATCAAGAAGTCACAAATTATAAGCTGCCTTAAATATATGGGCATGTTTATATGCATGTGTGTGTGTGAATAGTGGAAGTATTTAAAACACTGTTCATATAGAATTAGTATTTGCATGTTTATGAATATAGTAGTAGTGAGTTAGGAAAACAATCAAATAACTTATCTGGAAATTTTTGATGAAATGTGTATATTAAAAATCAGAAGACGATTAATTTATTGTCTGCATTCTTGAGGAATCTGTATTAAGGATGATTTGGGCTGCAAGTAACATAAGACGCAACTCAAAACGGGTTAAACAAGAAGGATACATATTATCTCAGAAAACAAGAAGTTCAAAGATGTGTGATCAGTCCAGGGTTGGTTAATTCAGAGGCTCAATCAAGTAATTAGGTTTCTTTCCATATGTAGCTCTGTTGTCCTTGGGGTGCTGGTATTTGTCCTTAGGCTTGTCTCATCAGGATGGCAATGTGCCTGCTGCAGCTCCAAGCATCTCTTACGTATAAAGAATTGAAAAGCCAAGAAAAAGAAGGTCTCTTACTTTTTTTACCCTTTAATAACAAGAATCATCTTCCCATAAGCCACACTCTTCCCCAGCCTACTCCCTTTACTTCACAATGGCATCCTAGAATAGTGCTACCTTCCCATTCCAAAGTCAAGCACTGGCCGTGGAAATGGCTTTATCGTGATAGTCTTAGAATGATCAGGATTTACCCCTTAGGCTAGGAGGCTACTCTCGTCTCTCTTCTGAAGCACAAAGTCTTGGATGATTGAATAAAATCAGAGTTATATAGCAAGAATTCTGTTAGCAATGACTATTGGGTACGTAGACACTATTGTCTCCTAAAAGATAGAGGCACCCTGCTAGAAAATCAGATGGAGAAGTATGTCCTAGCTCTTGATTTCTGAGGCAAAAGAAAAATGCCAGATTTTAAAAAAGACTTGATTAATTTAAATCCTGTCAATATACATATGTTTAAAGACAATAAAGCTGGTTATATAGATCACACTTATAGTCATGTCCTTTTTTTCAATTGCATGGGTTATTTCTTTTATCTAATATGTCTTTCCTTATTTTCTTGCTAGAGAGGAGGTAGGGAGAGAGTGTTGGGGGTTGGAGGACAAGGCCAAGTAGATAGTTGCTATTTCTTCCTAATTTGAGTTTTGGGAATTATCATGCCCACTGTTTATTATTGTCACCCCCAATAAGGCTAGCACCTGGTGATACTAGCTGCTACCTATTAACTATATAGAAAATTAAGGATACCACCTCTAGAACACCACACATCTACCTACCTATCCCATGGCACACTGCAACCCTGGAAAGCCTGACTAATTTGAATGTACGCAAAATGATTGCCTTCTACCTGAAGTCAATCTCATATACATCATTGTTTAGCTTAACTGATTATATAGAGTTGTAAACATCCATCTACTGCCTGCCTTGGGGAACCCTAGCGCCTTAGTGTTTGTTTATAATGATGGTTTACAATATTTCCAGATAACCAAAGCTTCTGTTTTGTCCATCCCAGAGAGATACAGATCAGCTCTTCTAGTACTACAACCTCTGAGAGTCAAGATCCCTCATCTGAGGACCCTGCAGTCAGTGCTCTCCAACAACAGTTGTTACTAATGGTGGCTCGGAGGACCCAGCCAGAAACTCGACGGGTATGTTCCAGCATTACTGTTTGTGGATGTTGTGGAGGATCTTAAAACCTGTTTCCTGGAAGGATTATCTGACAGAGTTCATCATGTCTAGCCCTGAGTCATTGCATCCCTGGTTTGTGAATATATCCTTATCTATTGAAAGAATGGGAACATTAAATATTTTGATAATAGATACCCTTCAGTCAATACTAATAGTATTGCCACTGTCTTAATTGCGTTTCCAAACATATTGGAAATTCATTCACATTGATTTGTGGCTGTCCTGTTGTATATATATCCTAACAGTCCACTTGGGGAGATCCCTCCCCATGGTTTAGGAAAATATTTGGATTTTTGTATTAATTTATTATGGCCTTATAAATTAAGCATTCAAAGATTCTTAAAGATAAATATCTAACTTGAAGGGAGTCTTTATTCTTGGGGCATATGACATTATCAACATGGGGTCTAAATTCTGAGGCCTTCCTTTATTTTACTGAGAGATATTTAATGTCTGTTCACTTATTTCTCAAATCTTAAATGAGATCTGACTCCATGGGAGGCACAACAAAAGGTTCAAAGCAAAAGGTAACCTGTGAAGTCAAACATCAGATCTTGAAATTAGTGTCCATCTTCATAATTTTGGAGAAAGGGGATGAAGAAGACACCTTATAAAAAGGGACACCTGACTAGACCTTGCAGAAAGGTGGGTTTCGGATGGTGGAGACTGAGGAAGGTAGCTGGGATAATACCAAATTAGTTAAAAGTTTCTTCATTGCTATGTTTACCTTACTCATGGCTGTGTTTGGATTCCCTCTAGGGAACCTCACCTTTGCAAAAATAATGTAGTTTTTATGATTGCTTAACCAAAATTATTCTAAAGCATGCTTGATAGTATAATGGGTTGAAGTGTATACACTATTATTCAGATGTGCCCAAAATTTAGTTATCTTCTGACAACAGAGTGCTCAGTTTCTGCCAACATGGTGGGTGAGGAGGACTTAGAAGTGCAGAGTAAGCAAAACTTAGCTCTTTCAGGCTTGAAGCAGTTTCTATGGGAACAAATATTCAATTTATTCAAAGGTTAGGTCCTATTAGGACTATTTCTGCATTTTTATGCATTGTCTCCCTTCCCCCAACCTTCTCAAGGCCTCTGGGTGTAGGGAATACCTTACTAAACTCAAAGATGGATGTGGAGGGTAGGAGGGGCACCTCTGGTAGCCAAGAATTGCTCACATGCTTTGCTTTAGCCTGATCACATGGTACCTGAGGAGGGTGGCTGTCCTGCATGCTTTTGTTGTAGTGCCAAGGTCTGTCTGCTCCAATGATCAGAGATCTACCTTTTGTTCCCCAGCTCCAAGGACCCTACATTCTGACACCTCCTCACCTCCACCCATATCTCTGGGCTTACCACCCTTTTCTGTACTTCCATGTACTCTCAAGGGTGACCTCTATTACACAGTGCTCGTGCCCATTCTGTGAGCTGTGCCTGGCCATCAATCCCAGCTGGAGCAGCCAGAACACAAGTGGGGCTCTGCTGAATGGGGACTTTTTCTGAGAAACTTGTGTTTTTCCCTGACATGGGCCTGGGGAGCCCAGGTCTCTACCACCCTTTCACCCTAGCACATCAGTAATAAACCCCCAAGAAGTGAATGGCTATAAAAATATTGAGGTAGTTTGGGAAGATGTGAATGTCATTGAATCTATGAGTGGGGGAGCCACAGGAAAACTAAGGACTTCAGATAATTCAAGTTGCAAAATCAGAGATACTGATTTAATATCTCAAACATATCTTACAGCAGAAATTAGAAAACAAGCAAGTATTGCAAGGATAAATTAGACAATCATGCTACTCCTTATTTTACATTTATAGTTCTGTAAGTGGCAAGCTAGGAGCTCTGGTACCATAGTGCCTAAGGCACTTGACTGCTAACCAGAAGGCTGGCGGTTCAAACCCACCAGCCACTTCTTGGAAGGAAGGTTGGGCAATCTGCTTCTATAGTGACACTGCCTTGGCAATCCAAGAATGTGTCGCTATGAGTCGGGTCCGACTCGACGGCACATAACAACAAGTGGCAAGTTGTTTGATTCCCTGCGAAGGCACCTCATGAGCAGCCACCACCCATTTGTCAATGGAGGCTTGTGTGTTGCTAAGATGATGCACAGGTTTCTGGGAGCTTTTAGACTAAGACTGACTAGGAAAAAAGGCTTGGTAATCTACTTCTAAAAATCAGCCAGTGAAAACCTTTTGGATCACGGCAGTCTGATCTATAATCAGTCATGGGGGATGACACAGGACTGGGCAGCATCTTGTTCCATTGTGCATGGGGTGACTGACTGTGCATTGGGTGCCATGGCAGCTAATAAGTGGCAAGCTTAGGTACATGAATGCATAAAAGACTAGCTTATATGTAATATTTTGTTAATCACTTAATCAAATTCATTAACTAGCTTCATTTTCTTAACTTTCTTAATTGCAATATAATTTAATTTTTTTTTATTTTTATTATTAGGATTTGGGTGAAGATTTACAGAGTAAATTCACTTTTCATACAGCAGTTCACATATACTTTGTCTCATGTCATTGACCAAAA